TGCCTTAGTGTCTAAGCATGAATTCATGACCTCAAAAAACCTTAATAAACCTTAAAATTATAAAACAAAATTGTATTACACAAAATGATTTGCAGTCTTCAAAGTTTCCTTCTCCATGTCAGACAACATTTTTTCTACCACTTTAAGTTTGTTACTTTTGCACAAGCAAGCTAGTTTTATACAGGCAAAATGCCACGGAGACAACATAAGTTCAACAAACTGTTTAACAACGGCTGAGACTCATTCATTTGACTGCAGAAAAGTGTTTGGTGTTTGTTTTTTGTTTTGTTTTGTTTTTAAAACAGATGCAGGTGTTCGCTGCCAGCTGCAGTATTAGGGCTTAGGATGCACACTGAGAATAGCAGCCATGTTATGAGATTCACTTTGCTCCCTAGGGAACCAGGATACTAGAACAAAAACAATGGGGAAAGAGCTGCTTGGTTATCTTTGTTTTGATGCAATGTCAAATTGTCTCAGAAATGGAAAATTAAAGTAATATGCTTTAAAAACGTTCTTGTTTTCAGAATACTACTTAAATATTAGAATCAATACCAGTATTTGATGTCGTTAAACATAGCTCCTAAAACAGAAATTAAGCAGTCAGCTTGTAAAGTGTTCAACAATTTAAATACGTTTATATGTGGTTTTAGTGCTAGAGGAAGTGACAATTTTGTGAAAAGACATATCGATCACTTAATAACACAACGTTCAAAGAGGTTTAAGACACTACTTCCAACATGCAATCTTCTGCAGGAGAAATCTGCCCTCTACTGGTAAACTGAAATCCTTAAAGGTCCGCACAAATTCAGACTCATGAATGCTGCCTTAAGTGCATCTGTTTTATTCCTTGAAAATAAGCTTCTGAGTCACTGACAATTCTGAAGCAAGTCATCTCGAGTGTCTGTGGTCTCAAGTTCTAACAAATAAAGCTTGCTAGGAGGCAACAGTTAGCATCTGTTACAAGCCTAAGGAACAGGATGGTTGTACTGTAAGCATGTCTGTTAACAAGAAAGGGCAGAGGAACCAGACACAGAAATGTTCTCCTTATAAGAAGTACCAACCACAGATCTCAGACAAGATAAGAAAATATCAGTAACTTTACTTACTATGCCTACCATATTACTAACATGTGAACACTCCTCCCCTTGCACATAGGTTTACAAATGAAAATGGTTGAATAAATGTTTGTCCTACTATTCTTGCCCATGCAAGTTTCCTCCAAGTTGCTGATTTGATGCAGACTAAATGTATGTTATTTTCAAGCCAGAGTACTTGTACAGTTTGTAAAATATTTCTGGAAAGGTTGTATTATCTGCAAAATACTGCATCCTGCTCTGAGACTGACTCTTTAACATTATCCTTCAGTGCTGACAAAAGAGTCCAAAACACCAAAAATAACTGGGAAAACATACTGCAGCATGATAGATTCAATGAGCTTGTATAGAAACTTCAAAATTGTTACAACTTGCAAATAAAATAAGCTGAATGTTCATAAACATAATTTGCTTTTTAAAAAAGGTTTTGCACACAGAGAAGCAAAATCATACTAAGAGGCCAGCTGGGAAAGCTAAATTTCCTTAAAACGAGGCTCAAAATGAGGCAAAAATCAAGTTGTTCCTGAGGAACTTGCTATGGGTTGCAGTATGTTCTTCCTTACTAGAAAAAAATTTATACCTATACTTAATATTTTAGCCATGTGCTCTGGCTAAAGTGTAGCTACTGGATTCCAAGAAGGGATCACTTCAGACAAGTTCTGAAAACACATGTATCATATTTTCAGAATACCAAAGCAGTTTGGCATCTACAAAAACACAAAATGAGAAGTACTCATCAGAATAAACCACAGCTCAGGGAATACACATAACTCTTACTGAGAGAGCCAGAGTTACCTGAGTCTTACAGAGGCAAAAATATCTTTTTACCAACTACGGGGCAGGTGCATTCTAGCAGAAAAAAAAAAAAAATCACAGAAAATTTGAGAGAAAGAAGGTAGAAGGAGAATATTATATATAACTTACATGTAAGACTATGACAGTGAGAACAATCAACTTTCTGTCCAATAGTTCAGTGGTTAAAACATTTCAATACTGAGACATGGGATTCCCAAAAAGTGGAAACTGAACAATAATCTCTCTTAAAAACACACATTGCTCCATTGACAATTCTCTTTTCCATTTTTAATACAGGTATCATAATGGCACTTTGATACCTGGCATAATACGTGAAAGCAATATTACAGATATCAGCTGGTCTCATTTTTTCCAGTTTATCCTCAATAATGACTTTTTTTCCCCCTTTTTGTCATTTTAAGCAAATAAGAAATACTTTGTGAATCAAACAAATTGTACTGGTATTACAGCCTACGTCTTAGAGTATCACTACCAGCTGCTGATAAATGAAATATTTGATCCCAAAAGGACTTGATAATGTGTGGTTCATCGGTATACAAATTATAACCACAAGGAATCGCTGAATTGATACACCTACCATTTTGTGGTCATTGACAATCATGAGCTCCAGATACTTCATTTCTTCAAAGACACCACGAGATGCCTGATGGATTAAAGAAATTCTGAGAAATCATGAAGATGGAAGAATTTAAAAAAAAAAAACCCAAAAAACAAAAAAACTGCAGTTGCTGATTTAATAGGATTGTACATATTATGTAAAGTTTGTAAGTCTATCCAAAGTGAGTCAGACCTTCTACTATGGTAAATACTACACTAACTTGGTGAGCTTTGATAATTGACACTGGCTGGGAATCTGAGCTGCATCATTTGGAATAAGTTTAGAATTTACTTTTTGGTTCAGTACAGAAGTCACCACTGCTTCCCTCCTTACTTAGACAGAGAAAAAAAATAAATCTCAAGTGCTGGAACTGCTGGAACCGTTGGCTACAATTCATCACAGAATTGAAGAGAAAGTTTCTAAAAATAGATGAGCCCTCCAAAAATAAGCCACGAATTGTACAAGTCAGTAAAGAAATACAAATTATTTTTCTTAAACCCGATTATTCCTCTTGCTCTCATGCATATGCATGTGTAGATCACGAGGACTGTCAACTTTTGTTCTCTCAGTAACCCAGTGAAATTAGATGTCCTTATTTGGAGTTCTTCTTTGATCACGCTACTTAACACACCAAGTGAAAATAAAATCGGCTACCTTCAAATAGCAATATTTTATCCAAAAATAATCTTTATCAAGCAAATTTGAAATCTAAAACTCACCCCACTTTCTAAAGTCATTTTCATTACTAATCTTCCGTTCAACTGATGTATAGTTTTGCTTTTATGTAATTTAATTGTTTGATATTCGTATTACACAGCAATTTCAAGCTACAAAAATATTTATTTTCTAAAGCTTCTGTTAACTCAAAATCCAAATTGGATGGTTTGGGCTTTGTTTTTATAAATGTTCTTAACTAAGGGTCACATCTGTACTCACTGCTCTCCTTCTTCTCTTTCTCTTCAGCCACAATAGTTCAGAGATAAAGGGCCATTTGGAACGAGATTCAGCCCCTGTACAAATCAGAATTTAAGAATTTCGTGGCATTATTTCCAACTGCTGGTATAAAGTCCAAAAAGAGATTAAGATCACCAAAGTTAGAATAACATTTGATACTGAAAAGTTCATTCTTGTAAAATACGCAGTAAGTATTTCATATCAAAACTCAAGTCACTTGGCAATCTAAATTTAGAATTAAAGCATGCAAGGGAAGATAGAAAGATTGTAGACTGGGCTTAGGATATATGTTTTCTTTCATTTCTATTCCTCAGTAGCATTCCTATCACTGATTAAATTACATGATCTGCAGAAGAAAGTTGGTTGGTCTTCATAGATGAAAGTCTGTCAGTTACTTTTCTGAGATCCATTGCAATAATTATTGAAAAAAAAAAGTTTAGTATTTATTTTCCAAGTGTTTCTAAATGATCAACAATTTTAAATATCTCTATTAGCTGAATATTCAAATTATTCAAGTTATACATACAACTATTTCCAATATTGAAAAACTCATAAGCAAAACCATACCATGGTCCTGCAGCTGCTTGGAGGCTTGTGTTCCAGAAGTTCTTTGGATGATGTGTGGTCTACTTCCACTTTCCTGTTAAGAAAAACATGCAACATTTTCTTCTAATTAATACTGTAGAGTGAAAAGGCATTTATTTCAATAATCATCATTCTTAATGCTTTTCCACAAAACACAACCACGGTACCAATTTCACACAGCAGCAATTTGAAGTAATGTTTGCAATCCTAAGCAATCACAGAGCATTCACCAGCACACAAAACTCGGATATCAGAGATGTTTTTGAGATTGTTTGAAAAGTGTCCTTTAAAACCCTTAGCGCTAGAGAATGCAAAATCATTGATTCCAATAAACCAAATTAAAGAGCACATGTTTAGATGAAATCTTCCACTCCCAGAAGAAATGCAAGGATCTGTTTCCTATTGATGACAAAAATCTACCATCTTCATTGCAGCAAAATGCAAGAAACTAATCAATACGGTATCTTTAAGAGGCTTGTTCCACTGTAGTGTTGAGTACACCAATAATAAGCAGCCTTTTAATGCATGTGTTCTTTAGAAGCCTGACATGCCCCAAATTATTGCATTTTGATATCCCTAGAAGACACTTGTCTTCTCTTCTCTAACTCTTCTTCTACAGAGGCTGCCAAAACATGCAATTCTTTTCGAAGGGTAGGATGCTACTGTTCTGTAACTCCTGGGAGAGAAATATATAATGAACTGAAGGAAATAAGAGCACATTTTTGCTGGTTTTGATTTTTTTTTTTCCTTCTGGAAAAAAATGTTTTAAATAGCATCCACAACAGTTAAGGTTAATCAAGCTGAATAACCTGCATCCTGAAGCCTATGGCCAAGATATTATCTCGCACAGGAAAAAAAATAAAACTAGTCACTGAAAATTCTCTGTAGCTGTATTGTTTTGATCTTCAGCATTTTGAACAAAAAAAAAATTAATCTGTTCTCTTTTCATTTAGAATTCTACCACTTGAATCTTAAACAGCATTGGCAGACAGTATCTCAGTTGAAGAATTTCTCCTCTGACTTCTGTGCAGATACAATTGTAAGTATAATTTCAACAAATTTACACCGTCTGTACTGTCAGCTTTCAGCCTCGCAATCTTTATGAATATGTGCTACATCAAAATGTAGCTTAACGTGGCTTAACATATAGCATGTAATACAGCTTTTGAGGAGACTGAGAAATGTCATTCTTCCCAGTTGCAGCATTTTTCAGTGTCCATATAGTTTCCTGCACAGCCCAAGAGTTGATCAGCTAAACTGTGATTCCTTTGAATGCTGATTCACCTTCTTTGAAAGATTCAGGAGTCAAAGATTTTGCAGATCTTTCTCTGGGCTACAAATCAATATTTACAGTCACTAAAAGACATGAATTCTGCAGCATTACGTTATTATCATATACTGGTAAGTACCTGAGTGAGGCATGTTTGGGAGCTGTGACACAGCATGTGGAACAGACCCTACAGGTGAAGTAGAAAAGTCTTAAGGTCTACAACTCAGTGTTACAGAATCATTCTGCTGAAAACCACTCAAACCTTTGAACCATTCAGGATGTAGAGACCTTCCTGGTTTTGTTACTGTCTGAAATGTAGTCAATTTTATAAATAGGCAGTTTTAGGAACAGCTGTGCTGTGATGTACTTCATGTGAAGTACAAAAATAATTATAGTTAGTAAGATTTTTGCATAAATACAGTCCTAAATCCCATGTAAATATTTGAATATATGACTAAGCTGGATCAGAATAATTAAAGTGACACACATATTACACAAGTAACATCTACACCCAGATATAATTATCTATTTCATTAAGATCTTACTGGAAGTACAGTAGATCAAAGAGCAACTTGGATCCAACTGCTTTGTGAGAAGGATGACTTCCACACCCTTCTATAAATTTAAAAATTCTTCACTTCAAGTACTAGAGCAAATGGATAGACACCTTTTGACAGTGCACAGCCACCTGCTATGGAAAACATCTTACTATTCCATTTCCAGCAGCTAAGTGATTAACAGCAGATAGGAAGAGGAAAAATGAAAGGAAAGCAATGTAAAACGTTAGTCAGTTCATACCTGCACATTTCTTGTCCTAAGTCCAATCAGGTGTTTTAAAATACTTTTGTTTTCCATATGAACACAACACAGATCACTGATTCACTGATTTATCCTCTAATTTTTATTTGCTACTCCCTGAGCTCTCTTTCTCAAACCAAGTGAAAATCAGATCAAAGTAAACTTACTGCACTGTGAGTCAAATCCATCGGTTCTATCAAGTACACGTAAGCACTGTCTTCAAACATGCCACTAGAACGTGGAGAAAGAGAACTGACATTTAGTATTGCATGAGAATTAACTTGACTCCATCAAATGTTTTTTAACAAAATAAAACCAAAATTATGGCTGAAACTCTGATCAATATTAGCATAACCCCATATGTATGCACATTATCATCATATGTACCTAGAATTAAGAATTTTTTTTATTATTTTTTCAGAAATCAGGTACATGTAATGGTAACGTAAAGATGAAAAACCAGAGTATACACATTGGACCTAGAAAACAGGGAGTCATAAGGCAGATATTAGCAGCAAAATGAGGTAAGTTACACTTAACAGTAACTAATTTTTTTTTTTAAATTATCTAACAAAAAGAAAAATGCTTCTGTGGGCTTTCATGCATGCATAGTGAGCAAACAGACTGCCAGAGGACAATTCTTGTTCATTCTCTACTACAGTAAGTCATTTTAGTGAAATATTTTTTGCCACTTACCACATTCAAAGGTTTAATGAGATATTATCAAAAGACTTTAATTCTAATGATACTAAAAAATGGTGTGAGCAGATTGGCATAACAGGCACTGGTATTTTGAAATTTCAAGCATCTTTTGGTCTGGAAAATTTTAGTCCATCACACATTATGATATAATAATCAAGAGTAATAACTAGTTAATAGCCTTGTTTGAAAAACGAGAAAGTGCACTTACTGAAGCCCATTACAAGTTGAAAGAGCAACTTTGGAATCCTTGATACCTCTGATATTTCCATGGTAGTAGCAGTGCTCCCCACCCTAATCATGTTCAAATTAAAAAAAAAAAAAAAAAGAAAAGAAAAGAAAAGAAAGAAGAAAAAACACAGAAAATTGCTCTGATTTCATGTCTATTGTTTAAATCTAGGGGGAAACATATGTAACATCTTCCATTAGATAAAATTTCAGAGAAAGCAGCCTCTACTTAAACTACATCCCAACGACTATTACAATTTGATAGTAAAAGTAAACCTTGCCTGGTAAAGAATATTTTATGCCTTCAAGTTATAATGTGAGTTACTCTCTTGCTGATGTCACAGCACACCTCATCTTTCTTTTTTTTTTTTTCCCAAACATATTTCTTTGCTGTAAATTGATGCTACAGAACTGTTATGTAATGCAGGTTACATGAGCTGACTTGTTTCTTGATACTTGCCAGATCCACTACATTTATAAGTAATACACTGTTCATCAATTACCTGCATGTGTTTGGCTTCAGTTTGCATTCTACCAACCCAAGTTTGATTTTTCTCTCTAAAAAAGTATTAATTTAAGCATTATATCATTAGACTATAGGTACCAGTATTATTTATGAGCTTTAGTGTTTTAGATTGGCAACACTAAAATGCACAGTTAAATTCTCACTCTGTAGCTTAAAAGAGTAATAAAAGTCAATTCTTGATTTTAACTGCATAAAACTAAAAGCAGATGCAAAATGTGACTATGTTAATAAGTTAATGTGACTATGTTAATAGTATGTTAAGATAGTATTTTTATGGTTTCAGAAACTAATCAGCAGTCATATTTTAGACAAGTTCCTGCTCTTAAAAAAGAACACAAATTTCCTACAAGCATGTTTAAATGTTAGAGAATTAAACAAGCAAAAAACCAACCCAACAACCCCTCAACATTAGGTGAACTACACCCAAGATGTCAGTTTTCAAAAGCCTTAATTATACAAAGTGAGAGAGACCCTGCTGAATGCTGCAATACAGGATTTGACGAGTCAGGAGCTGTAAGAATTAGGCAGAACAGAATTAGTGCCAAATATGCTGTCAAATGGGCTTTCAGAGCAACTCTGAATACATTCTGTCAGGTCTCCACAGGAAGGTTAGTCAAGCTGTAATATGTGTATATACGAGGGGAAGAGGACAAAACGAGAGATCAAAATGCTACAGAGAAAAATTGGTACATAAAATATTGAAGTTCTAATCCAGAAAAGCCTTGCTCGTACGTGACCTAAACTCTAGGGAATGCTGCATGCTTTCCTCCGAATTGAAAGAGCAAGTTCCCCAAGCTCATCCAGCTCTTCACTACAGAACAAACTAAGCTGAGCTCTCCTCTCCTGAAGCAATTGGCTCCTGACTAAACTCTCATTGAAGTGGGCGTAGAAGCAGCCCAGACATCGAAGGGGACTACAAGGATGCTCAGAATGCATCTAAGAGACTGACAAGGTTTTGAGACCCTCACAAAACACAGTTGCAGTGACTTTCATTGTTGGTTGTTTTGTGTTGTTTTTCATTCCTCTGGAGTATAAACTAGTACATCAAAAAGCCTTTCCTCTGGCTAATGCCTCAAGTTTCCCAGGTCACTTTGAGGAGAACCACCTCGAATCTCTTCACTTTCCAGAAATATCCTCTATCCCACCTGTAATGGCTACTGTGTCTACAGCTACTATGTGTCACAGCACCCTCCCTGAATTCCATAAAGCACACTGAAGCAGCTTCATTTATGGAAGACAGATTCCTGATCTCAGAAAGAGGAAGCACAATTCTATACCCAGAAGCTAAAAGGCTTCTACGACATATGAGCATGATATTCGTCATCATACTCTTAATTGTGGGGTCATCTGAATTCCAGCACGCATACTAGAACCATTTCTTCGCACTTACTATGACTTGAGGAATTAACAAAAATGTAAATGCTCTTCAACTATGCACAGCATTAATTCTACTTTTGGCCTTATTTAATGAGTTATTCAAATTCTGAATGAAATTCCCAACAGAGTCCATTCTGCACAAGTAAATCAAAGTATTATACAAAATGCAACCACCACGTATTTACTTCTCTACTAGTGAGAATACTCAGAACGTGCTTTTTAACAACTGGTGACCACCTTACTTGCACAAGCAGCTTTTCAATCTTCTCCTTTTTTTAAAGACTGTCACGCAAGTGAGAAAATTACTGTTTGTTCCCTGAAGTTTTCACTCTTTAAATAAAAATCTACAGTATTTTCATCAAGATCTCACATATTTGCATCCACATCCAGAAACAAAACAATCATTTTTTTCAAGTCTAAAAAGGATTATAAGATCCTGTAAAAAGCTTAGGATGTAGTCCTCATTTGATCTCCTTAATTAATTGTTTGTGTGTTTTCTGAACTTATAATGAAGACTTCAATGCATTAATTAGAGTTATAAATTAAAGCTAAATTATTGTTTCTAAACAAATCAATTGAGAGAAGATCCCCTAGGAAGCGTGGATCAAATTACTGCCGCATGCAAAGGCAGTACATTTGCTCAGTCTAAAGTTGCAATATAATTTTCCAGTCAGATCCATGATTCAGCAACCGCAGTGCTCAGTGCTAGCGCTGCAGCTAACAATTGCACGAGCTTGTCCACATTCCAAAAGGATCCATTTTCTTGCATCATTTCGCTTTTTTGCCCATTCTGCACAGTACGGAGTCTTCATGAAACAAAATCACTTTTTCTTAGTATGTTACGTGAAATTATTTTCAGTAGAATACAAAACAATTCACTGCAATAATTAGGTTGCAATAGTGTTATTTTGACCTAATCTATCTCTTTTATTTGTAATTCTCTATAGCAAAGGCAAAATAATCAGGTATCTAATATATGGCCAAAAAGTGCCACTTCACTGAATGCATAAGCATAACACGATTGCTTGCTTTTCTCCACTCTAAATAGAGATATGTTTCACATATAACAAGCTCACAACAAATGTTCCAGCATTTGTATCAGCTATGAAATAAGTCATTCCCTGGAAATGTATTTTATAATGCTCCTTTGAACTTATCAGTCTTCATCTTGTTAATACAATCAAAAGCTGATTCTGATTTCCATAGTACTAAACTATCTAGCATAACTTTATGTCTTTGTATCAATAGCTTATTGGCACTGAATCCAACTTAGGAGCCAGTTTGACAAACTAAATTAAGTAGATGTCATTAGATAACATGCTAGCTTTCACAGAATTTCTACTAACTCCAGTTAGTTAAGTTTTCATCATCTTTTTTTTTTTGTTTCCCAGCTGTATAATTCTTACAAAGAAAAGTCACTGCAAGTTTTCTGCTTGTACATCTTGTATTTCCACTACCTGTTCCTCTTGCAATTTGTGCTAAGTACACGTAACAAACACTATGCTAACCGTGACTCACATCCCGCCATCCCCTACGTTTTATGAAGCACAACTGTCCTAGCACTGCCTGGATCATCCATCACTGCCTATTTCCTACCCCAGCCCAGATGAACATCCTTATGTGTCTGTAAAAAGGCTTCTGATGTTTTGACCCTTTAAAAAAAAAAACCAAACATGTTACTGGCATTGTTGCCCCAGAAATACCATTCTGACACATGTTAAAAGCGCAGTACCTTAGACAACTTCTGTTTCCCATCTTCATAGTGAATCTCCACATAATTGGAAGATAACAAATCACTGTAAAAAAAAGAGCAAAAACCAAAACATCAAGATGAGAAAAATCTGATTATACTGCTATGTGGATGCTTTAGTTAGAATTGCACCGATTTTTCTTTCCATTAAATAACCTTAAAACAAACCAACCAACCAACCACGCAGCTTGCAACCAGTAGATGGTTTGATTACACTCTAGAAGACAGAGTGTGTTCAGTTCCCCTATCCTATTTTAGTCTTACAATTGATTATCCTGAACATACAAAAAGAAAAAATCCAGTGACTTTAGAATTTTGCTAGCTGCCCATGACTGTTACTTTCTATGTGTTTGATTAGTTCATTATTGTTTTCAGAAACATTTTATATTTGATCTAAAAATCATATACATTATATGCAGGAATGGACAAATGCATACATGATTGTCCCAAAGACAAAAGTGTATCTGTATCATCTGTACCTTGCTTTCTCATCTGCAAAAATCTTAACTGTTTTCCAAAAACTTTCTTTAAAAATAATCAAACAAACACAAATGCATAAAACACACACTATTCCTTTTGTTTGTTACACATTTTCTTTTCAGACCCTTTTTTACTCGTTTTTTTTTTCCAAACCACTCTGGCAAGATACATTTCTGGAGCATAAAAGAAATCCCTGTGCTGTAAATAACTTACAGTTGGTGTTTTTTTTTTTAGACACCTCCAGTGTCTCATTCACATCTCACCCAGTGAGCGGGTTGCAGCACAGCACCCTCAGCACAGCAAAGCATTTGAACATGTTAGTTGGCACCATCACATATGTGATATAAGCACATTACTCAACTATGTGAGTATGAGAGTAATGACTTCTCAGCAGTTTTAAGGCCTCTAAGAGCCTTCCAAACAGAAATGTCATGAAAGCAACTGATAGTGACACAGATAAAAAAGTACTGCTGCTATGAATAAAAACCATCACTATGATGAAAGCCTGGTGTGACAAAATAGTTCTGACAGGAATTCATGACTAACAGGTACTTGCAATAACACATCTCAAAATGAGATACCCCATTAGCAACCCTGATTACACTGTTACTAATGGCTCATAAAATCAATTCGTCATCCCGCATTTATCAGGCATTAAATTTATCAGAGCTCCTGCTGAAGTCAGTTACCAGTGCTTCTCTTAAAAGTCCGTTTTTCATAGCACTGAGAGATCACAGTATGGGCAAAGTAGCAATAGCCATGAACCATGACTGAAGTTTAGATCTAGTATTAGATATGGAGCTTGGCAGCCCTGCCTGTGGCAAGGGGGTTGGAGCCT